AACACCTGGTCGTGGCCGGTTTATGGTGAAATGATGTTCTTTCCGCTTCCGGATTATGGCCCCAACACTGCTCAATTGGTTTCAGAGAAATAAAATAAAGCTGCTAGAATGGCCCAGATGATCAGCTGAGAAAATCTATGGAAAGAACTAAAGATCAGAGTTCATAGAAGAGGCCCACGGAATCTTCAAGATTTGAAGTCTGTTTGTTTGGAAGAATGGGCCAAAACCACACCTGAGCAATACATGCGCCTAGTTTTTCCATACAGGAGGCGTCTTGAAGCCGTCATTACCAGCAAAGGCTTTTGTACGAAGTATTAAATCAATTTCAGTACGCGTGTTCAATACTTTTCCCTGTGGCATTCCATTTTATTGCACATAACTTAATTTCTGAACTAATTTGTTTGCATTTCTTTGTATGTATGGATTAGTTGGGTTGTTACCAACATCTGGTGAATATTTCATGTCAATAGCACCTTTAGAAATATATTTACTGAGAAAAATGGTGACGTGTTCAATACTTATTTTACCCGCTGTATATATATCGTAACTCAAAGTCCACTTACTAGCTTCTCCTGAGCTTTTAACAACCAATTACTATTATTATCTGTTGAGGACGACTGTGAGATGTGGTTGAAAGTAGAGCTGCAACTATGAATTATAATAAATATTGAAAATACTTAATCCCCAACTATTTTGATATTCGATAAATCAGTTTGAGTCAAATATTTTCTGGTTTCTTTACTCCATTGTGACAGTAAACTGAATATCTTTGAGTTTGCGAACAAAACCAGACATTTGAGGACCTCATCTTCGGCTTTTTAACCATTTTCTGACATTTTACAGATCAAAAAACAAATAGATTACTTACTCGTACAAGAAAATAATCGTTAGTTGCTGCCTTATACTTTTGTTTTAACTCACACACAAATTATTTTGTACTACCGTGAGAATATATGCGTGTATATGACGACAACATTTACATTTTACTGACCACAAATACTTGTTTACTTGGCTAATTAATTAGGAATAAGTCACGACAACTGTATGATCCTCGACACTGCTCTACACTACACTTTTCTTGTCATGGTTGTGTGTGTCTAGTGGTTTTCATGCCCTGGTTAGACTCTACAATATAACTTTAAAGACTTTCTGAAGTTCAGTGAGACAACCAACAACACAACAATCCTTCCTTGATGCGTCTGCTTGTGTATGAAACTGAACCATCACCTCGGGGCATTCTTGGCCTGTTAACTGCGAGCTGCTGCCCACACTGCTGACCAACCGAGCCTCATTCTGGGCATATCTGTTCACAGAGCCGAGCCAAGACGACCGGCTCTCCACCAAAATCCATATTTCACTGATGACCGCGGCTGGTTTACTGGCTGGAGAATATACTGTGTTTTCTTCTGTTGACTTCACACACAGACTGAGTGAGTGAGTGAGTGAGTTGGTTCTATACATCAGAATATGGCCTTCTATACGCTGTGCACCTGAAGTGAAAATTAAATCAAGTCACGTTTATCAGGACAATAAAAAAATCACCGAAACCACCAGATAAAAATACGCTTCCTGATTCAGCAAGTATACTAGTATACAACTATAGAAATGATGCTTTCTTAAGAAAAAATAACGTTTAAAAACAAATACACTATTTTACTTTTGTGCTTAAACAAGGAAAGTCAATTAATTGGTTAGTCAACTGACGGACAAGTGAAATAAATTCATCAAGCAAAAAATGTACCCAACACATCAACAATAAAGTTACTATCTTTAGGTTTTAACAATAAAGTTACTATCT